CCAAACGATTATTGCATAATTATGGGACTGCTGGCCCGTAAATATTAAGTTTCGTTGTGGTTGAGGTAGAGGTAATTTAATATTCAGGGACCGTCCGGTTTATTATAATTACTGGTGCAAAAGTCATCCACACCGTTTGCAGGACTGGCTATCAAAAGGTATCTAGTTACACATACCAAAAAACCCCACACAAAACGGAACAGAACAAGACGAGATAAAACAAAACGGAACAGAAGTTGAAAGAGTTTTACAGCAATTGCAACACAATAAGGTCATATGAGTGCCGAAGATTAGAGGTGTTATAAGAGAGTAACAAACATAAAAAAGAAGGAGTTTTTAGTTTTGGTTGAGGTTTTACGGCGCTCGCAACTGCATACGGTCATATGAGCGCAAGACGTTTAGAGGTGTTACATGAGAGTAACAAACGCTAAAAAGAAGGAGGAGAGATCAGGAAGATAGATGTTTTCGATAGGAAAGGAGGAGCAAACCACACCAGAGCACCCGCCAACCACCCACATAATAGGATTTTTCGGCACTTGCAACACAAATTGGTCGTAGAAGTGCCGAAGATTAGAGGTGTTGTTAGAGAATAGAAAAGGAGGACCGATACGGACGATATTACGTGTCACGACGCGGCGGAATCAGGCGCTCGTCAATTTTTAGGCATGTGGAGTTATTGGTATCAGCTTAAAGTTTATTTATTTGCTTTGCTTTCAAGGAAATAAATACCCGTCATCTCGAATAGAAGTCAAGATATTTACGATTGAAGGAGATCGCCTGGTTTCAGTTTTGAAATTAGCGAGAAAATGGCCGCCAAAGTTTGATAACTTCAATGGTTAAAAAGTCCTTGAAAACAGGAAAATGACATATTGTTTTGGCCTTCAATCAATGTTTTTCGGTAAAATTCACATGGAAATGTGTTTTTATATGGACATGAAAGATGTTGATCCAAAAAAAAGAAAGAAAAAAAAGAAAACAAAATCGAGAAAAATCGAGAAAAATCGAGAACATTTTCCAAACAGCGGGAAAATGCCTGTTTCTCCAATTTCTGTACTTTCACGGGCGTCTGATTTCACCACGCATCATCATCATCATTGCCTTTCTCTCCCTGCACCAGGGTATAGGTCACGGACAAACACCCTCCACTTTTCTCTATCCTGGGCTAGCCTCTTGATGTTATTCCATGTCTTCACACTTTTCTGTACATCGATTTCTATGATTCTTCTCCAAGTTCCACGAGGTCTTCCC